AAGTATTCAGAAATAAAGGAGAGAAATAAAAACGTCCTATCATGAAAGCGATATAAATCTGCAAACTATTCGATCATGGAACCGCTGAAGATATTTCTCTCCAGTGTTTTTAATAAAACCTACTTTGAGTCATCGAGAACAAAGGAAACCCTTTCTTCGTACCCACTCTGATTCATCGAGAACAAAGCTGACCCACTGATCATTAAAAACACTGTTTCTCTCACCAAAATCTTCTGCAAAGTTCGTGAATGACACATCTGCTTTAAATGTCAATGAATCAACTATTTCTAGCGCCATCTATTTCGCATTTTGAAGCTGTGTTAAACCCGACTAGTTCACCACTATCGTTTTTTCAAATCAATTTAAAATTCAATTCAAATTTAATTGAAATAAGAATACTCATTTACAGAATGTACTTCTAGCTTGGTTTGCCATCAACCAATGAAAAATCTCAGTAAAAAACCTCATTTCTCATTTTTCTTTTTTTTCCCTACCACCACTGATCTATTTTTGTTGAATTCATTCATTTAAAGAAAAATATTCAATGAGAAAAAGGGTGAAAGATATCGCTTTTGAAAACTGTCTTTATCTACAAAATACGGCGCTACGCAAATGACAAGAACGAGTATTGTTGATTAAATAGTTGAATAAGCTACTGCTATAAAATTAAGACTGTATCAGGTTTTTTTTACTTTAAGATGTTTTCATAGCAGGGTAGTTCTTTTGGAAAAATGTACTAGACTTTACATCGACTTTCTGCCAATCGTATGGCACTTTCAGGATTAGTAGAAATCATTACGGTGATCACAAAAATCATCTTAAAAGGAGAAGGATAATCCGCTCCCCCGGTCTGTCACAGAAGCGGTAACTTGGTTTCAAGTGAAAGAGGGCATTGGATATCTTTCAATAAAGAAAAATTATTGCTAGTCATCTGGGTTTTTAGAAACGTTTTCTGAAAAACCTGTCGACCTTGAAGTTCATTTTACAAGTTTTTAAACCACTCCATTGCATAGCCCGTTCAATCCTGTGCAAGGTGAGATATTAACCAAGCTTTTACAATACTAGACAACCGAGTTACAGGGTTTAGTCTAATTCAATGCTGAAAAATTTTCAGTTTACTACTGAATTTCCGAGACGCATCGTATTTTGTGTATTAGCTTTTTAAAGAACATCGCAGAAACTTGGTTGACATCACATTTTGCAGAAAATTGAACGGGCTATCCGTGGATTTACCATTCAATGGAATGCTCGAACTTCCGGAATGAACTTCACGCTCGTTAGGATTTTTAGAAAATCCGTTTTTCATACACCAGAGAATCTTCTTGCAACTAAGTTCTTGATTTCTTGAATTTTTTCAGTAAGATCTTGATACAAGATCTGGGTAAAACTTCAAAAAATTTCAAGAAGTCAAGATCTTAAACTTCTTGTAATTTCTTTACTGCTCGTGCCAAGAAGTTGACATGAAAAGCTTCTCTAGTTGCGAACTCTACGATCCAACATCGAGTAGGTGGAGTACCGGTGCTAACATGTCATCAACCTGTGATTGTCGTACTGCAACTTTATTATTACGTGGACAAGTAACAGGTGATTATGATTCGTCGAAAATCCTGTCTACTGGCGAAAAGGTAACGACGAATGATAGCCGCCTGCTACTAGCACTTTTTCAGACGATAATAAAGTTGAAACATGACAATCACGGGCTTATGACCTGTTAGCGGCGGTACTCCACCTATTCGATGTCGCATCGTAGAGTTGGCAACTAGACAAGCTCTTCCACGAAGCATCAGATCCACCCGTCACTAGTACTTTTCCACAGGATAATAAAGTGGCAGTATGGCTCCAACGGACTGAGGACATATTACCAGCTTCGCCGTATCACCAGCTCGTTGTTAAATCGAAGATGAAATATGAATCTCGACTTGATACAATTCTAATTTAGTTCAATTTTACAATCTCTTATCATTACTTGCTCAAACAGAACTCATTTCTGAAAGAATCTAAAGAAGATACCACGACTGTTTTGTACCTTTCTCAAGGATCTCGTCACATATTCTGCTTCTCTCTATTAAGTGTTTCTTTCCTTCTACCAGAAATGATTCATGCTTTAACATAAACTGGATCTAGTGACTTTCGCACAACAACCGTTGAGACAAATGTGAAAAGTCCCAACCTTATGGTTCGATCTCGAGAAGTGGTCACCGATCTCCTTACTAATCGTTATTTTTACACAGTAGAGAGACACATTAGGTCACAACTTTCTACTTTCTGGTGCCTACGTCCATAATGATGCATGGTTTGATCTTCAGAAGTGGTCACCCATCCTTTTACTAGTCACGTTTGTTCATGATGGAGAAAGATAAATCAGACAAAATATATGCCCGTTATGCGCGGTTCGAAGAATAGATCTATTTGAAATCTGAAACTCGACTTGATACAATTTTAATTACAAAAAATTGGCATATTTAATTTAGAGAGTACTAATTTGTCTTTCTCCACTGTGAACAAGCGTAATTAGTAATAGGATGGATGACTGCTTGTGAAAATCAAACCGGTTTTTCAGTGAACGTTGCTCGATACAGTTTATTTTAAAGGATCAATTGTTCTGATAGAATGAAAAGAAATACTTAATGGAGAGAAGCAGAATATGTGCAGTGGCGAGTGATATCGTGCTCCATTCTCATTGTGTGAAAGTCATCGTTCCTTGTTCTAGGAACAGTTATACCCTCATAATCACAATATTTCTTTTTAATCTCTATCTGTTACCGTTCCGGAGTTTTCTAGAGTCCAAGGCCGAAAACCACTATTCACTGTAAATTCTTTTCCCTTAATACAGCTCAAGAGAGAGACCTCGGCTTGGTTTTATTTTAAACCAGACACCCAGCTGGGTTGACTGATGGGCTCAGATTTTTCAATTAGGCCTTTGTGGGTTCTCTAGAGACATAAGATCCTAAAAAACCCTGAAAGATCCTTTCAAGTTTTTCGAAGTTCCTTTTTTCCTAAGGAACTAAAGCCTATTAAAAAATCTGCTCCCATCAGTTCTCGCAGAGTTTTATGCTCTTTTGATTAAAACAGTTTTCTGTCTGTGATGGACCGTTATTAAGAAAAGGGATATACAGTAGATGAGGTTAGACAATAAAACATGTTGTGAGAGAAAACGCTGTGCATTCGTTGGTCTGTTTTATGACATGTAGGAAAATGCTGTAATTTTTAACGTAACATCATACAGCGTTGTGCAACGTCTTATTTTGATCAAAATAGGTCTGCTGTACAAATCTACGTGTTCAGAATTGCGATTTTTAAGGGAACCCCCCAAATTTTGTCAGTTTGTAGAAAAGACGTCCAAGGGTCTGGGGTTGCAATACGAATACGAAAATAGACTTTTGGTAACTTTGAAAGTTTCATAACTTCACTAAAGCTTATCCAACCCGCGAGTTATTGCAACCCCAGATCCTTGGACGTATTTTCTACAAACTGACAAAATTTGAGGGTATTTGGGACTTGCGGGGTCCCCCTTAAAAGCAGAGTATGTATCTACGCAAATTTTTAACCGACCACTTTTGTTCTTGTTTATTAATCCCCTTCTATGAGTTTCAAGTTCTCATTTTACAGTCAATCGATAGAGAATTGAATTCTCTACAAAACCTGTAATTTTAAGCTCTGACAGCACTTTTCCCATTTGAGTACCGTTCAACAATATTGAATGGTGCTGAGTTGTCGAACTGCAACACACTGAAAATAGAAAAATACTTGCCTTGATCCAAAAACAGATTCCATAAGGATTTTGAAAACATCAGAAGATTCATCAGAAAATTCTGCACCTTCTCAGGTATTTTTCGACATTTTTGCAGCTCACTTTTCTAGAAAAATTTCTGTGCAAAAAACTGATAAATCTAAAAAAACCCAACTTCTGAACCTATTTCTCATAGACTTTAGTTTTTGGCTATTAAAGCAGTAAAACGTTCTGAATCCAGAGTTCTAGTCTTACCATCTTACACAGACTTAAATTCTGCATTTTTTGATATATACAGAAAGTTTCTCAATTCAAATCATTAATTAAAACAATTAATTTAATTTGAAAAAACTGAAAAGCCGGTTGAGAACTAATTATGAGTCCAGCTGACGTAACGAAAACATTGTATAAAGTTTTATGTTAGTGAGATCAATAGAACACAAAATCCTCTATCTTTCTACCTAGAAAAACTAGCTATTGAACATCAGACAATGGGATAGAAATCTCGAAGAAGGAGACATCAAAAGCACGTCGCATTTCGACAACTCAGCAACCTTCAATATTCTGGATGGTACTCAAACGGGAAAAATGCTGTCAGAGATTAAAATTACAAGTTTTGTAGAGAATTCAATTCTCTATCGATTGACTGTAAAATGTAATGTAAAATGTAAATGAACTTGAACTTCATAGAAGGGGATCAAAAAGCAAGAACAAAAGTGGCCGGTTTTATCTGGCCCACCCGTTATTTATGCGTATTAAATCAAAGGACCCGGGTCGATAAGACTCAAAATCGACCCCCTCTCAGATCAAGCTCATATTCATAAGTCTGATGTAGTTTTTCTCCGTGATTAAAACTAGCACGCCAAAAATAATGATAGACACCGGAGCAACAAATACAATTATCACAGAAAATGCATTAAGAAAAACAAAACACCAGAAATTCGACAGTACAACAAACCCGATATTAGCCATAGCAGACGAAACATCCAATTTAAAGGTTCTTGCGTGATAGATTTGCATATTAAAGTTAATCATATGATAACAACCATAAAGGCGACGGTAGTGAGAAGTTTATTTACAGATTGTATTATTGGAACGGATTATATCAAGAAATATGATTTGAAAGTTGATGTAGGCGAGGAAACCGTTACAATTTGTAAACAGAAACAAAGAACAACAATCCCAATGGTTAAACAAGACCAGCCCCTCTATGTACCATTCAGATTAAAGCAGACTACCAAAATACCGCCTCAACAGCACGTTACAGTTATTGTATCGGCGTGCGTTTCAGCAGCGAGAGTGCTCTTTAGGCCGTCATACAATCTAAAGCAGCAGATTCCAATCTTTATGGCTAATAATCTGTTGCTCATTAAGGGACACCAAGCTGAAATCCCGATTCACAATCCAGCAAGCTATCCATGCTTTTTGAAGAAAGGTATAATCCTTGGAGTATCAACATTACCAACAACAGCGAGTAGGAAGTAAAATTAAACCAGAGAAAATGACTCTACAAGAACATCTGGACGATATGGTAAATAAGATAGAAAATATTGACCATCGACAAAGATTCAAGGACTTTCTCCAAGATTAAAGGAACTCCACATTCGAACTGTCCAGATCCAGAAAAACTTGCTGTTGAAAATGGTTGTTGATATGAGAAAAAGATGTGAGCATCAACTTCCATACGCTGCTTTTCAAGCATCTAGTCGAGTTGTTACTGATCCACAAATAGCAGCTGCAATACCCAGTTTTGAAAGCCTTAGGTCTACATTATATCGACATAAAGAAAATAAAAATCAACCACCGACACCAACATCGTTGCGAAATCTTTGCATTCCGGATAAATATGAAAAATTGTGTACAGGAGAAAATTTCTTACAAATTCAAAGTTCAGATAAGAGAAACCTTTCGATTTCTTATTCTTAAACGCTTTAATTTCCTGTTCAGGATATGTGGTACTCGCGACAGAACACGGGCTTCGTTTGTTGTTTAATGCTACAGAAGTCCATGTTGATGGCAACTTTAAAGTTGCACCAATGTCACAGGCAGGCGGAACACCTCTTTTTATACAATTATTCTCATTTTTCGGTCTATTCCATAATAAAATATTACCATTAGCGTTTGTCTTTTTTAATGGAAAATCGAAAAAAAAATACTCAAAATTATTACGTTGTCTGAAAGATAAAGCATTCGCGTTAATGATGTTATTTGCACTCGATAAAATAGTCCTCGATTTTGAAACTGGTCTAGTACCAGCGTTTCAAGACGAATTTCCATTACCGGGGATAACAGGATGTAATTTCCATTTCAATCAGGCCTTATATCGTAATCTTCAAAATCTCGGTTTGCAACAAGAGTATGTGGATAATGAAGCTGTTCGAAAATATTGTAAGCTACATTGTTTTTCCTCTTGCTTGATTACTCTTCAGTAGTATGTTTTTTGAAATAGTTCGTATGATATCAGGCATCCCATTTCCACCAACACATTTAGTACAATTGACCTATGATGAAGTAGTTGATTCGACACCATTACGCAGAGGACATAAAATGCAACCGTTTTATCGTTATTTTTCAAACATGTGGTTAAATGGACAGTATGCTGTTGAAGTATGGAATGTTTATGGTCAAGATAGACGAGCAAATAATGATGTTGAATCATGGTATTCTAAGTTGTCACGTCTACTACAAGCACAACCGACTGTATGGAGATTGATTGAAACACTTCACGCCCAATACGTCTTAGTTCAACATGATACTGAACGTTTACGTGCCGGAACATAACGGGTGTAACAGACATAAACGCACTTTTTTATTTTTGCTGCAACTTCGTCGGGTTTTATCCGATCAACTTAATTTTTTTTTATTAGATTTGCCTTGAAATTTTCTACAAAAATATGTATCGACCTTTTGTAGATATTTTAAAAGTGTCTGATTGCAACATGAAAAGTAAAGACTTGCAAAAACTTGTACTTCATAAATGGGAAAATGGCTATACCTCAGCACAGATATTTTGTGATTTAAAGGGAGGTATTTCAAGGAGGCAAGTTTATCAATGGTGCAAAATGATCAGCAGAACAGGGCAAATTCAGCTGGCATATCCTCCAGGTCGTCAACGTAATGCTCGAACAAAAACAACGGTTCAAAAAGTAAAAAGTCGTCTGAAACGTAAAAAACGACTGTCAACAAGAAAACTGGCTGCTGAATTGACTATTTCTCACATGTCGGTACACCGAATACTCAGAAATGACCTAGGATTGAAGCCCTACAAGAAACGTATTGAACCAGCACTCACGGATCTTCAAAAAAATTAAGAGAGTTAAATTTTCAAACTGAGTTTTGAAAAATTTCAAAAAAGAACAAGCTTCTCGAATTCTGTTTTCGGACGAAAAATATTTCGACTTGGATGGCATGTACAATCGCCAAAATGACAGAGTGTGGGCTGTGGATCGTGCGGAAGCCGACAAGAATGGTGGAATCAAGCAAAAACAAAATTTTCCAACAAAAGTTATGGTTTGGTTGGGAGCGTGTTCGAAAGGACTCACACCTTTGGTTATTTTTGAAACTGGCACTATGAATCATCAACGATATATCAAGGAAGTGCTACCAATTGCTAAAAAATATGGAGATGAACAATTTGGAGACAATTGGACATACCAACAGGACAGCGCGAGACCTCATACACACGAACTATCACTGGAATGGTGTTATGAAAATATGCCTGGAATAATCGGCAAAGATCGTTGGCCACCAAATAGTCTCGATTTGAGCCCCTTGGACTACAGTATTTGGTCCGAATTTGTACAACAAATTAATTGGAGTGTTGCTCGATCAAAACAAAGTTTAATTGAAGAATTAAAACGTGCTGTTAAAAAAATTAGGCCAGAAATAATTTTACAAAGTTGTGAAAGTTGGACGAAGCGATTGCACCGTTTAAAAAAAATTAACGGCGGTTATCTTCATTAATAAAAATACATGTTTTTGTAGAAAATTTCAAGGCAAATCTAATAAAAAAAAGATTAAGTTGATCGGATAAAACCCGACGAAGTTGTAGCAAAAATAAAAAAGTGCGTTTATTTCTGTTACACCCGTTATAAAGATCGAAAAAAGTTAAAATATCAAAAACTGAACAGAACAGTAAAACGTATAACGGATAATTTTAATCTAGGTGTTTTGATCTAAGATGTTTTGCTGCTGCTAAACGTGCTTAACAACATTTCTTAAAAATGAAACTGCATTGTCAAAATAATGCTCACAAGTTTTTGATGTTAAAATAAAAGATTATTAACCACTGAGAATTAATCTCAAACAGTAGTGACGGAAACAATTCAAATGTTTCAAAATATTTTGAGGAACGAGTTATGTAAGTGAAAACGCACCAAACTAAGACACACTAAAATGAGAATGCGCTCAGATGAGAACGCACTCATATGCCAACCTCCGCCCCCCCCCCCCAATTCTGATAGAGGAAACGGCAAGTTGTTGAATCATGTATCGGTTTTCCAAAGATTATGATAAGACCGAATGGCGAAAAATGGAAGTCTTCATCTCCCTTTACTAAAAAACTAGTGAATTTGCCATAAATCCGCCTTTTATTTTGAATGGACTATAGACAAATCTAAATTTTAAACTGTCTTAGAATTATAGCAGTTATGGCAAAAAATGCTCGTGAACGACAGTCTGTCCAAATATCCAATGTTAATGAAATAAATAGCGACTGATCACAAAAGTTCAGTTAATATCAGGGTATACAGGGTAGAAATATTATCACAGCTATAGCTGCTAAAGTTTATGAGAAATTTTTACTTCAAAATGTTACTCATTTTTTTTCTTCAGCGACACCTATTTTTAAAAGATTATCTACTGCTCGAACGACTCATTTGTTTGAACTGAAACTATTAGCTTGATAATATATACGTTAGGTCTTTTTGTTGCACAAGTTTCAGTCCAATCTGTTAGAACGATGAAACATCAACAGGCCCCCTATCGTGCGATGACTCTCAGGTACTATGCAGGTTTATGGAATCAAGCGCAAAACCCACAATATACGTATTGAGATACGTCTTTTATGAACATTTATGAATCACTAGAAAATGGATAGGGCTTTTACACTTCAGCTAAAATCATCACATCTGTTCGTTTTGAAAACAGTAATAAATCCTTACATATTTTTTTCTATTGTTTGTCGATCATGTTTTTGTAACATAAGCATAGAGAACGTTGTTAAGCGACATGTATGGCAGCAGTATGTATATATCAAAAAGTGGCTGCTTTTTGAAACGACACTATTCAAAAAGAAAAAAATCAATGTTTATCTCAACTTCTTTTTTTCATTATTCTTTTGAGTATTTTATTTTATACTTTAGTAAAACGCTGTACTATAGTACAATATTTTTTCCTTTCTAATGCAAGAATTTTTTTTCATTTCTTTCGTTTACGACGAAGATGTTTGTTTTAAGCAATGTTCTTCAGATCGGGCATACCATCGAAACACATTGAATTCATTATGAAAGGTTCGGCACTTATGAGAATACTGACATAAATATTAGAAAAAATTGTTATTAATCCATGCAAAACGAAAGATCAAATTTTATAGTTATATTTGTCGTATAAGATCCGACCAGTAAGAAAAAAAGAAAAAATACCACTGGTTAGTATGATCTCTGAAACCCCTTAGTATACCAAAAGTAACCGTGCGGTAATGTCCACCGTGTGCTGCGAAGAACACCGCTAGGTGTACCGTTTCAGAGTTATTCATCTCCTTGTTTATTGGCTAGAGAGCTATATATAAACGACAAAAAATTAAAAAATTTCCAAGTTTTCTCTCCCTGACTCGTCGATGTGCATGAACTTTGACTCGAGTCACAGAGTGAAGTGGCTTTCCGACTTTGACGACTATTATCCCCTGTTGGCAGCTAATTTACATTGAAAACCTTGATCAGTAATATTCGTGTTTTACTGACGATATTTTAGGAATACCGCGCGGTATACCATCGGCATTTTTTTCTTTCCTTAGCAGTTCCCCCGCTCGGTAACTGGGGGTATTTAACATATGGGATAATCTGTTTACTAGCTTTTCCATCAACATCTGTGTTTTCAAAAATTTTAAATAAAACGGTTTGAATTTCTCTAAGTGTGTGTATCATATGATTAAAGTATATTGGACTGACACTCTAGTGAAGACCACTGAGTCATGGTTTCTGATGATACACATTCAGAAGATTTTCTTGTCAAATTCCTTACGAAGAAAAATGGAGAAAAAGATTATGCCGTGATTTCAAAAAAGAAACTAAGAGCCGAACCGATACAGTCATCATCACACAGTGGGCATTTTTTGCTAGAGCATGAGAGTTGGGTTTTGACAAAGTTTTCTAAGGAGTTTTCCAGAGATCCGGTCTCTGCAAAACCCTTCAGAAAACTTTCTCAATATTTAAAAACGATGCCACTGGAAAAGCATTGTCGAAAACCTATAAGAAACATGTTTCGAGTCGTTCAGGTTACTTTATCTTGAAATTCAAATTTTCAGCACGAAATTGTTTGTGTGAATCTCAAAAACTAAGAAATTTCTAGAATTCAAAA